AATTGATCCGTTCGGCTGGAGTATTGTACAACACATGATTACTTTGTCACCGAGATCCATCAATGTGTACTGTTTAGCCGAGTAATTTAAGTTGCATTCCTCGATTACAATGAATTAATTTATTCCGTCATGTTTTGATATGAAATTATGAACTGCGAGGTCATTTTGACACACAATTTTGGTTGACCCGTGAGCATTGTCTGTCCCGGAATACGAACACGCATTGATTGATGCCTATGTCTAAAGTGAGAGTTTGCCAGAACTTAATCAATTCAGAGAGATCTCTCTTCTGGATCATATGGTTACCTGACCCTAAAATTCTATTCTCCTCGAAAATTTCAACAGACAGACAAGTGCCATCACTGAGAACACTCAGACAGCTTTCTTTTCATTAGGGATTTCATCAAGTAGAGATTGCATCGACCACATCTTCACTCTTCGCTAAACTCTGCAGCACCGGCACTCTTTTCGTAGATCCACTATCTCTGTCTTCTTGGATCTGAAAGCGGATTTCAACTCAGTCAACCGCTCTAAACTCTGGCGCTGCCTTTCTCTGAAGGGAGTGCCCGAGAAGTTTATTTCAATATTACAATCCCTTTATACTAATAGCGGAAACCGAGTCCGAGCTTACGGCACGTCTTCACCCGAAATCACCACGGAAAGTGGTGTTCGTCAGGGTTGCCCTCTTTCTCCTTTTCTATTTAACTCTGTTATTGATTTGATTATGAAAACAGCCTTGTCGTCGTGCGAGGATAGTGGCATTGATTTCCTGTCAGGTGGCAGACTGTCTAATCTAGAGCATGCAGGCGACATTGTGCTCCTAAGTGAAGATCTAGGTAAGCTACAAGCTCTTTGGGAAAGTTTGCATGGCAGTGTAGCCATGTTCGGTATGCGTTTTGCATCTTCAAAGTGTAAGATGCTACAGCAAGACTGAGTTGGTCCAGCACCCAGTCTCACTCTAACTGGAGAAGTAGTATACCAAGTGGATAAGTTTTGTTATTCGGATAGCTACATCTCACCCGGTGGACGCATCACATATGAAGCATCAACTCGCATTCAGAAGGCTCGGTTAGTATTTGCAAACTTGAGACATTTGTGGTGCCGTCACGAAATCCGATTGTCTGTGAAGGGTCGAGTATATACTGCAGCAGTTCGGCCAGTGCTGCTTTACGGTGCGGAAACTTGGCCACTATGAGAACAGGATACAGATAGACGGTCGGTGCTTGAACATCGCTGTCTACACAGCATTGCACGAATCTGGTGGGTCAGCCGGACGTGCAATGCTGAGGTTAGGCGCTGAGCCTTGGGTAACCGCGGTCGCCCATTGGATCAAGTGAACGACCTCCATAGATTA